CTATTGTATCTACACTGCAATTGGTCAAAACGAGTGTGTTTCTGACTTGTTATTGAAGTATACAGGAAGGGTTCGGCTGTTCGCCGATTAAAGTGGTACGTGAGTTGGGTTTAAAACGTCGTGAGACAGTTTGGATCCTATCTTCTAGTAGAATTCTATTAAAAAAATCTTTTGGAGGTGGTCGGCTTTTTGGTGGTGTCTGCTTTTCCGGGGTTCACTGTATCCTCGGACAGTCCTTGCTTGCAAAATAAGGGTACTCATCACATCAATTGACTGAGGGTTCGGTTCATCCCCGTCCTGGTCAAGAATAAAAATTGCATATTTTCTATGTTGTGTTGGCCAATCAATGGCCTCGTGTCTGAATTAGATGGGTATCATCATCCATGACTTTTTTCATTCACTGACCATGGAAAAACTTGATGCATACAATCAAAATACTTGCGAATACAACGCTTGCGAGTTTTTTGCCATTGTATTGATACTTCGAGAAGATAATAGTAGTAAATCGAATCAACTGAATTGAGAGATAAATCTACTTCGTAGGCAGAACTGGCTCTTTTGCTCTTCTCTGATGCACAGATTGCGAAATTAGATGAGCGGGTCGCCCAGCCTTCCAACAAAATACTTCCTCTGTTAGCTAAGCTATTACTGCCAATATAAGCAAGTCAAGCGACCCCAAAAAATCCATTTTTGGTCCAAATTTAATACGGAATATTGCAAAAGAAAGGAAATCAAAAGATGGAGATAAGTTCCATTGAGACCAAAGCACCGAAATGAATATTTGATGATCAAAATCAGCAACGCCTGAGCTCCACCAGATCGAATATTAAAAATATACTTCGAGTAAAAAAGATGAATTAAATTACAGGACCAGTCTCCACTTTCAAACTTCCCGCCATGAGTTCATCACCGCGCCAAAAACGCGAACTAAGTGCTGCAGCCAAGCATGACGTTGCAACCGCTCTGCAAGACAGAATGTTTTTGGGTGCACTGCCTCGCGGCACATTCAAACTAGTTGCGGCGCAACTCCAACTCCATCGAGGCACAGTTCGGGACATTTGGAGCCGCTACAAGACAGGGTCATTGAAGACGAAAAAGATCGGCCGAGTTGGACCCAAGTCCCAGCACTCAGCCCAGGAGATCAGATCGTTAATACAACAAGTGCCTCATCAACAGCGCAGAACCTTGAGAGACTTGTCCGCAGCAACCGGCTTGACCACCTTCGTCCTCAGTCGTGCGCTCCGTAATGGTATCATGCACCGTGGGTCATCACGTCTCAAGCCAATGCTCACGGACGAAAACAAGCTTGAGCATCTCAACTATTGCATAAGCCACGTTAACATCACGCAAGAGAGTTTGGACAAGTACCGTGCTGAGGAAGACAACGCGAATGCCGTACAAGAAACAGTTGACCACCCCCGCCACACTTGAAAAAGCCGAATTTTCGGGGATGTGGGATGTTGTTCACCTGGATGAAAAGTGGTTCAATGCCGACAAGGAATGTGGTAAGGTCTACCTGGTTGATGGTGAGGATGCTGGTTACCGTGCCTTCATGTCAAAGCGATTCATTCCGAAGGTTATGTTCCTCTGCGCTGTCGCTCGTCCCCGTCTCGAAGACGGCTTTGACGGCAAAATTGGTATGTGGCCCTTTGCCAGGCAAACGGCGGCTGCACGCAACTCTCGGAACCGACCTGCGGGAGCTACGGTTACCAGTGTCATCAATGTCGACGCACCCACGTACCGTGATTACGTTGTCAACCGAGTTGTTCCGGCTATCAAGGCGAGGTTTTCCGAGCTCCCATAAACGTGTCGTTCTTCAACACGACAACGCAACGCCCCACCGCTCCATTGACGATGCCGTGCTCGCTGAAGTATCCACTGATGGGTGGACGTTCGTTGTGCGGCGACAGCCACCAAACAGTCCCGATCTGAACGTGCTGGACCTCGGGTTTTTCGCATCAATCCAGACACTACAGTACAAGATGGTAAGTTGCACTGTTGACGATGTCATTGCATCAACTATGATGGCATTCGATGCACTAAGTGGTGACACTTTGGCCAACTCCTTACATTGCAAGCTGTAATGATTCTCGTACTTGAGCATCGTGGTGGCAATCACTTTAAGCTCCCTCATTTCCAGAAAGAAGTCATGAGGCGTGCGGGCACTCTTCCATTGAACCTCCTCGTGGATGCTAATTTAAGCCAATAAAATACATGTATTCTTTCGATTGTCCAATTATGTTGAAATGGCAGCAGTAATACCAAAGAGTGGATTTTCGAATGGTGGCAGTAATAGCTAACAGAGAAAGTATATATTTTTGTTTGACAAACGAGAAAACACAAAAAAACTTCAATAATCTTGAACCGTCGGATCTCATGCCCCTCTTCGTTCCGAATGATACACGTAGACTCAAGACATAAGTCCCAGAGTAAAACGCCGACATGCGTAGGAGCAACGAATGGCTTTGAGTGCCCTTCTGAGGCCCTTCAGCACCAACTCGTGGACGATCCATTGAGTTATCTGACGCACGATGTTATGCATGTGCTCCGTTGACCAGTAGTGTGTCGACGTCATTGCCGTTTATTGTAAGCCCCGCCTTGAGCTGTCATCAATTGAGCTGTCATCAATTATGCGAAACCCCGAAGAAGTTGGCGGTCATAACCGAAGACTTCCTGGCGCCAGAAGACCCGGGTGAAGGCGTGGAGGATGCCGACAAAGAATAACTACTCAGCCTGAGGACTCCAGTGCGGCTCCTGGAATCACCTCCCTAGTCCAAGAGGTCGCCAGTAGCCTGGGTTCGTGGAAGTCTACCCAGAACGAACACGAAGCCCCTGGTCGCGACGATCGTGGTGACCACTGGCAGACTCCAAGAGCTAGGATGGACTTATGAAGACCTGATGAAGACGTTTGAAGAAAACTAGAAAAACGAAGATCAGAAGTTCTTGCAGCAGTTCAACGACGACAGGGCGATACTCCTGGACGTCATGGAGACACGTCTGGTCGGAATGGCTGAAGAACTGAAGCGAACTGTGGAGACTCATGAAGCTCGACGCCAGAATGACAACCAAAAGGCTCAGGTGTACTTGTGCGAGTGCTATGATCGTGAACTGGACTTGACACATGTGCATGCTAAGCCTGACTCCACGGCCGTCCTGCACGAAGAGGTGCGACTTGAAGGTACGTGGAACGCCAGAATGGGTCAAGTAGCTGAATTACTCAATCTGGAATGGGAAAGGTAGAAGACTTTGATTCTCCAGGAAAAGATCTGTGAGCTCGAGGCCCTCGCTACGAAGCACTCCGCCCAGGTTCAAGCTATCCAGACGAGGCGGAACGCGTCCTTCGGGCTGTTCGAATGGAGAGTGATCAAAGCCGAGAGGACGCCATTAGCCGTCTCGGGGTTTCTGGGTGGAAGGTAGCGCCGTTGTGAACACCAAAGACAAAGCAGACGTGTGTCAGAAGGGTTGAATTCAGAATTAGCCTTACTACCCGGAGCGAAGCGACCCCGCGCGTAGCGCTTCACGGGGGTTTGGGGGCGGAGCCCCCATTCAATTGGTTTTCGAGTTAGCTGGAGGAATTTCATTGGTCCTTTCGATATTTCTTCGTCAGCGGA